GGATTGCAAATTAATATTTGAAACTTCCACCACCAGTGTTGACTTAGTCTCAACCGATCCTGGTTTTGTGGAGAAATAAGGAAAAAAAACATCTGTTCACCGACCCACAATCCAGCCGCCACGCTGCTCCTGAGGTGGAAAATGCACCTAGACTCAGTCGTCCTTCAGCAAAAACTACTTGGAAAATGCGCGAATATCCGGAACCGTGCTCCGAATGACATTGATTCCACATTGTTTTGCTATAGTATGATTAAATCACAGTGTAAGGGTCACCAATCACCAGCAGATATCTTTCCATCACGCGCCTGCCCAGCTTTATCATCTTCTGCCCTTATCCGGGCGGTGTTTCTCAAGAGGTGAGGTCTTCCAGTTATAGACCGGTTCGCAACCCCATTGACTATAGAATACCCGCTGGTAAAACACATAACTATGGAAAATCACAATTTTTAAGAGAGAAAACAACTATTTAAATGGGCCATTTTCAATAGCTACGTTGAATTACCAGAGGGTACATAGAATACACAGAATACATAGAATATCCGCAATAGTTAACCTACTTATAAACATTCGAACGCAAGGATTCCGTCGACGGGTGAATATGGTGGGAACCTGTAACTCCTGATGTATTTAATGATCACCAAGGACATCATGTCACAATTCCACCCGTTTCCAGTCAGCCATTGGGGATGGTTCGTGATTCTGCTCTTCATCGTTTTGATGGTTTGTATGTGTGTACTATATATAAATATATGGATATTATAATCATACATATAATATATATATACATACATGGGTAATTGTAAATATACAACCCCACCCACTGTTGGATGTTATCCTATTGCGCAGCTGGATCAACTGACAGCATGGGCCCTCCCTTGTTCGAGGTCCTTGTTGCCAACTCGGTGTTGGTTTGTGTGACGTTGATGCGTTTCTGCATTGGACCAGCGCAGCTGAAGAAGGTGCTTGGGTGGGCTTAAAAACCAGACCTCCAAGGAGAAACCGGATTCAACCTTGCGGGTCCAGTTTTGGACCCCCATGCAAAGGAAACGTGTTAAAAAAGGGGTCAGAAAGTGGAGCCCCTTAAAAGTGCCCCCCCCTGGAGGGTCCAGGTTTGGCCCCTTTATTGTGGCAAATCTGTTGAAGCTGATTTGATCAGCAACAGGTGCGACTGGAATCTTGAACTGGGGGAGTTCTATTTTTGCGCGCCTGCTTTTTCTTACGTTTTGAGGACCAAAAAAAAGTCTGCCTTCTTTGTCATATTGTTTTGCTCCAATTTCCAAGCCTTGAGGCCCTCGACACCTGCCTCGAAGCCTGCCCCAAGGTGCTTTTCCATGGTCTCGCGGCACTGGAGTTCGAGATTTGCATTGAGGCCTGCGTCCAACTTTGTTTCATCCTATAAACTGTTTGTTTTGCTGCAATTTCCATAGCCTTGAGCTGTTTAAAATTCTAGCGAGGCAGCCGTTGGTAACTGTGCTGCCTGAGGCAGCACAGTTACCAACTACTTCAAGTTCAGCCTTGCTGGGACTGCAACAATAATATAGTTTCGAGTCCCGTGAGACTCGCTTTGTCCTTGTCCCAATACGTTTTGCGTCCGAGGCGTGGCCGCGGCCAGGCATCGCCGAGCTCATCAACATAACAGAAAGGGAAAGATTGTCATGATCAAAACAAGCAGGTACAAGGGGCTAGTTTTGGGTTCGTTTTTTGGCACCTGAAACTGATATGATTTTTGGAGACGGGGTTGCGGCCTCCCTTGTATTTCGTTCCTAATGCCCTGATGTTTGGGTCCACCGCAGCGGTGTATGCCTTCAAGTTGGTCAGTCGTGCCCTTTGGTTTCTGATAAACGTGTACCTGAAAGTACCGGCGGCAGAGTACTTGGATGATTATCCCATATTTCTCACCAGAGTCCAGTGCCCCCGAAACCGACATACTGGTGGCTTATTTTCTAAACCTTGTGGGGTGGTGTCACGATAGGACAGGACCCAAGGGCAAACCTTTCCCCCCAGCATTCGGTGTATTGGGCCTGACGCTTGACTTAGCCGGCCTGCCAGCCAAGAGATAACTCCTTGACTCTGAAAAATAAAGAAGGGAGGGTTGAGAAGATCGCTTCCAAAATTATCCAGATCAGGGATCGATTTATGAGCCTGTCTGATGTTCAGGAAATTCATGGCCTCTTGAACTTTGCGACCGGTTATTTTGCCGTAGGTTTCTGAAGTATGCCTGCTTCAGAATCTTTTCCCTCGTAGACCAGGGAACCCAACACACGCCCCGGTTGCGTAGCGGGTGTAACGAAGTCCTTCTCTTGCTCGAAAGCGTCCGACCAAGGACGATTCCAGTGAGCATCGGCACCCGCACGGTCCTGGTGTTCACGGGCGGATCTTGGGAAGATAGTGTTGCAGGAATAGGGGCCATCCCAATGGATGAATATTCGGGCAACTGGCTAGAAGTACAGGATCAGGTGCAGGCTGAACTTCTGGAGCTGTGGCGCGATTGTAGGAGATCATCTGATATGCCAGATTAATTAAGCAACTCACGATGGTCCTAGTGAGATGGGAGTGGCAATTGGAACTGAGCAACAGAAGAGCTCTACTCTTTGTTGACAACGACTCGGCTAGAGGCGGGGTCGTCAAGGGCAGGTCGAACAGCCCTACGATGGACGACCTCACCAAAGCCTTTTACACTCGATTGATTGCATCCGACCAAGGACGATTCCAGTGAGCATCGGCACCCGCACGGTCCTGGTGTTCACGGACGGATCTTGGGAAGATAGTGTTGCAGGAATAGGGGCCATCCCAATGGATGAATCTTCGGGCAACCGGCTAGAAGTACAGGATCAGGCGCAGGCTGAACTTCTGGAGCTGTGGCGCGATTGTAGGAGATCATCTGATATGCCAGATTAATTAAGCAATTCACGATGGTCCTAGCGAGATGGGAGTGGCAATTGGAACTGAGCAACAGAAGAGTTCTACTCTTTGTTGACAACGACTCGGCTAGAGGCGGGGTCGTCAAGGGCAGGTCGAACAGCCCTACGATGGACGACCTCACCAAAGCCTTTTACACTCGATTGATGTCCATTTGCCATCCTTCTGGTGGGTTGAGAGGGTACCCAGTAAAAGTAACCCTAGTGACGAACCATCTAGCTTCGAAGGGAGAGCAGCTGCGTTCCTTATGGAACGCCAGGTCCTTGCAAGGGTTCAAGTGTGAGACCAAAATAGCCGAATGGTTGATTAAGGCAGCAAGCCTAAGACGCCTCGTTGATTGCAGGGGGAAATGGAAACTGATCCGTGCTTCGAAGACAGCAAAGATTAGTAATAGATCCAAGCCGATGGATCAGATGACCTACCCGCAATCGAGACATCCAAGTCTCATACCTGATGTTCCCCCGATCGAAGAAAAAAGGGTCATGCGCTGCCGGTTGCTTGAACTTAGACATCGTGCATTGGATGATCACAGCATGTTGTTGAGAGTAAAGTTTATTTCTAGGGTTCAAGGACGTAGGGACAAGAAGGGAATTTACACAACGTGGATAGCACTTTCTTGGACCAAACAACTTGAACATTTCTTGTGCTTCTGGCAAAGAAATATCCCTAGAAATAAACTTTACCAACGAAAAAAAATCAGGAAACTGATCCTGATACTAGAAGTGGAAAGAGTTCACATTGGGTTGAACTACATCGAAGAATTCAAAAACGTAAAGATTAGTAATCAAAAGTTTGAAACATGTTTGTTGTGAGGTTTTGAAATGTTCAGATGTTGATGCATTGGATGCCGTGAAATTTTTGGCTTTAAGACTTTCAGCAGAGAAGGCATTAAGAGCATTTGAACTCTTCATGGTCATGGATAGGATTGGCATCACTTCCATGAATCAAAACATGTCGACATGAACATGGCAACATTGAACATTTCATCTCATCAAATTTTTCTTTTCCCACCCTCCCTAACCCTACAACAGGGACAGGAGGGGAAATGGAAACCGATCCGTGCCTCGGAGACAGCAAAAATTAGTCATAGATCCAAGCCGATGGATCAGATGACCTACCCGCAATCGAGACATCCAAGTCTCATACCTGATGTTCCCCCGATCGAAGAAAAAAGGGTCATGCGCTGCTGGTTGCTTGAACTTAGACATCGTGCATTGGATGATCACAGCATGTTGTTGAGAGTAAAATTTATTTCTAAGGTTCAAGGACGTAGGGACAAGAAAAGGACGATGATGATCTTTCCCAATCCGGTAACCGAGACAATGGTGACCGAAGAGATGACAGTGACGACAGAGAAAATCGTAGGAATTATGACTACGATGAAGAAAACCATCGTGGAAACGGCTTTGGTGGAAGTGGCGATCATTGTGGCCGAGTCGAGATGGCGCGGCCGAGTTCCGGCGCTTGATTGTCAAGCAACGCTGGATGAGCGGTAGGCCGTAGAAGTGCAGATGCACCAATCGAAATTAAATTTCGTGGGTTGACACTAGCTGTGCCGCGCAAGGTAGAGACACTGGAAACATGCCGCGGTAAAGGTCAGAACGTGCTAAAACCGCACTGTTTGAAGGATGGCAGGCCCCATAACGTAGCAGCATGCTCAGTTGTGCTTTATCTATTTTTATCAGTGTGACGACTGATGCAAGTGGCTCCAAACAGGTGAAAACCAACCGTTCAGTGTTTTGACAATTCCTGAACACAGTTTAGGACACCACATGTACAATTCTGTTACTGACTTTGGATTGGTGTCGCGCAACACCACAAAAAAACAGTCGGATTGCGATCGTGAACCTTGCTGAACATGTGTGGCGCCAAACAAAAGACTGTGTGGGCCCCAAAGGACAGGTCAAACGAAAAAAAATTACTCAGTTTGTTTTGGTTTGCGCAAATGCATGATTGAACATTGCAAAATTGTTGAAATCATGTTGTGTGTTGTGTTGCAGGCATGCATGCCACAACTAAGCATGCAAACTGACAGGTCCAATTTTTTGCTTTGTTGCATTCCCCCCGAAAACCATTGTTTCATGCATTTTCGACGCCGCAAGGTTTGGTTCAAAACTTGCAGTGTGCAGGAACACATTGAAACATGCACCATGTTTTGGGTCCCGTGTCTTGTGCCATTCGATTCATCAGAGTGGAAATGTTTTTGTTCAACACAAAATCAGACTGGTTGCAATGCATTGCCGCTCCGCCGTGGCTTGATGAGTACTGTGCCAGCGTTGGTGTTGCGGCTTGGATCAAAATTCCAAGTAACCTTTTTGTTGACAGTGAATCAATGAACTTGGTTTCATAATTGACGATTTCAAACATCACGTGGCCGCAAATTTATCGTGTTTTTTTTGGTCTCTGGTTTTGGGGCAAATTTGGGCAATGGGATGCCTCAAAACAAGGAAACCATTCGGTTGCTGCCGACAAAGAGCTTCATGGTTCGCACTCGATTTGTTTCATGTTTAAAAAAAAACGTGGAAAAATTGTAGGGATCATTGATATGCCCAAAAAATGATATTGTTGTTGTTGTTCATGTGTCAGAAGGGAAAAACTCGGAATTCGGTCCAGGATTCCAGGACGGTTTTGTTGAGATTCCATCACCCAATTGCGATTGCGGTGGGAACGCGTGGGTGTCCGCAATGAGGCCTTCAGTGGGTTTTGTGCTACATGATGGAGGGCGTATTGCAGAGGCGTGCATGAATTTGGGATCTTCTGAACAAAAATAGGAATAGAACCATTTGCGTATGTTTCTTGTGGATTTTTATAATGCCGCAACACCAAAGGGCCGTGTTCATATGATTCCAGCCAATAACGGACCCTTCCTCCAACAAACCCACGGCAAACAGGTTCTCTGAACGATTCTTTTTGCACATTTTCCGAGGCAGTGAAACCCTTTATGCATCTTTAGGAAAAAAATCGCAGATATTCCCAAGGTCTCTGTTTTCACACAATTTGGTTTTACAAATCCAAACCAGAGGTTGCTGGAACATGCACCAAACCGTCAGTTTTGAGTTTTTGCTGCCGCATACCCACAGTTTCATTCCAAAAAAGGCAATTTTCCGACCATGCCCAAAGATCATATTGTTGGTTTAATAAATGATCCCCACATTTGAGTTATCGCCACTATATCCCTACCATATCCCCACAATATCCCCACAATATCCCCACGATCCCCAATGTCCCCATCGTGCCCCCATATTTTTCCACGTTTCATCCGCACAAGGTAGCAGTCCCCTGTTATAATAAATTAGTTGATGATCCCTATTCATTAACTATAGATATAATCACCTATATACCTTATAGTTATTGTTAATCAATGTAGTTTACGTTCCCCATGTTTAATTCCCATCGCCGTATGTCGTTGGTGATCAACCCACGTGACTCGACCGCCACGGGTTTGAACGGAACGCAGGTGTGCAACGGCGCAGTGGTTGGGGCACCCAGGGTTTTTTAGGAAGGACACCTTGGGACATCGAGATCCAACAATTGTATCTTATAGATGATAGATTCATGATGGATGATGGATGATGGATGATGGATGATGGATCATGGATGATGGGTGATGGGTGATGGGTGATGGGTGATGGGTGATGGGTGATGGATGATGCATGATATATGAAGGGGAAAAAATAGGGAATGGGCAATAGGGAATAGGGAATAGGTAACAGGGAATAGCGAATAGAGAGCAGAGAATGGAGGCCAGAGAGCAGAGACCAGAGAGTAGAGAGCAGATAGTAGCTAACAGCTAATAGTGAATAGCTTATTATATAATAGCTAGTAACTAATAGCTAATAGCTAATAGCCAATATCTAATAGCTAATAGGTAATAGCAAATAGCTAATGGCTAATGGCTAATAGCTAATCAAAAATCGAGAATCGACAACCGACAATGGATAATGGACAATAATCGATAACAGAAAACTTGTCGATTTTTCAGATTGTCTATTGTCGATTGTAGATTCTAGTCTAGCTATATTGTAAATGTGAATATAGCAATAAATTCATACGCACATAACATAGTACTTTCCTCAAATGCATCAATTGGGGCACCGATTTTTCTTGTGACCGTTTCATTGCGGGCGCCCAGGAGGAAAATTAATTGAACGCCACCACGTGCTCCACTCGCCCCACTCGCCCCACTCACCCCACTCGCGCCACTTGCCCCATTCGCCCTACTTGCCCTACGCAAGCAAATTAATTGAAATTCGCCACTCGCTCGACTCGCTTGCCTTGGTAGGAAAATTAATTGATTTTAGCCACTCGCCCCGCTACTCGCCCGGATGAGGGGCAAGCAGGGCAAGCAGGCCAAAGGGGGTATGTGGGCAAGTGGGGCAAGTGGGGCAAGCGGGCCAAGCTGGGCAAGCGGGGCAAGAGGCCGGGTCAGAGGGAAAAACCATGCGCCGTTCATACTTCTGCGTGGTGAAGCCAAGGCAAGCAGGGCAAGCAGGGCAAGCGGGGCAAAAGGGGCAAACGAGAAGAACCAGAGATCTTCCGTCGGTTTGCAAGTGGGGCAAGTGGGGCAAGCGGGGCAAGAAGGAAGATTCACTTATTTCCCTCACAAGCGGAGCAAGCGGGGCAAGCGGCCGAAATCACTTAGCGCCCCCGTGGGGCAACCACACTGGACTGTTTGGAACTGGCATTATGGCCTAATTTTGATCGCGTATGCGAGCTATTGCCAACTGCACGTTCGTTTCAGTTTTTGTCGTGTGGCTTGTAAACTGCATGAGATGAGACGTGACTTTGACAGTCTGAGTTCTGCACGCTTCCATGCGGCGTTCTCTTTGCCACCCAACCGACCTATAGCTGATGAGGCCAGCGGAAAGGTGGCTTTCAATGCGCGTGGAGCAGGAGAGCAATTAATGTTCTGTGATCCCCAATGGACCTATCAGGTTTGAGCCAACTAGAATGGCTTAAGTAAGTTTTGGGGTGTATTTGATACAGGTCAGGTTTGTGCTGGTTTTGGTTTATCATATCCAGTCTTGCAGAGAAGTTAGATCAAAACCTATCACAGAGGCCCAGAATGGAGGAAAATCATTTTCTTGGAGCCCAGACCCTGAACCCTCTGGCGTTCCAGCTTACCCTCTATCATCAAACATGCAAAATTCCTTGGCTGTTCGATGATTTTCCCAGCGATGGCCCATTTTTTTGGGGTTTCCCAGCCATGCTTCAGGAGCTGCACCCGCCCTGCCACCGCCGCGACCAGGTCGTTTGCAGGGAACCAAGGCGATGGTGCGATGGTGGTGGAATTGGAGTTGGATGTTGAAACTGAAAAAGAGGAAATTGTGGCGGTTAGATTTGGATAGGATTTAACAGAGTGGATTGTACTGGATTGTAGCTATTAAATATTGTAGCTTGGAGTAGCCAATGAGACTGCCTTCCAGAAATTTGAGGGAAAAACCAGAATTGTTTGCAACCACATTTAGAGGATTTATTGGATGAGATTCACAATCTCCTGAAATTGAACAGTCACATCATTCTTCACATCACTCCGTAAGGCTCCAGCTTCCAAGGTCCATGGCCGGCAATGCAGCCGTTAGCCGCGCTTCCAAGTCTCGAGTAAGAGGCCATGTGGTCCATGGCCACATCAACCTGAAGGGCGAGCCATTGGAGGGCGAATAGCAACATCAATCCAAAGATGAGCAGCTGCAGGGTTTTTATGTGGACATCTGTTTTCACCAATGCTATGATCACACCGTCACTACAGGACCATGTGATGTTCCAAAATCCGAGCGCCGCGAAAACAGTGTCAGACTCCCTTCAAAGTTACCGAGAAATCGTATTTTCTCGCAAGATATACGGCTCCGGTGGTTCCAATCGAATCTCTTTTTTGAGCGAATCTCAGGTGAGCAAATCCTTGGGATACCTCACAGTGTCCCGCTGCGGACTGTGGGCAACGAACCCACGGACACAGCAAATGGGCAACAGGCACAGCAACTTTAAAAGGGTGAAACGATCAGGACATTCGACATGGAAAAGCGTGATGTTCAGTTGGCGTGTTCATGATGAAATTTCACTGATCTATTTGAGTTGCTGAAAACAGTGGTTTCGGGGAACAAGTCCTTTCGATACACGGCAGTTTTTTGTCCCGGGCTGTGGATTGCAACAGAAAACGAAACAAGAGTTCCTGGGAGGGGCGGAGGGTACCCGGTATCCGCCGGTACATTGAAAAGGTCATACAGTGGGACTAGGCCATTTGAGAAAACAGATTGAAACAGATTGAAATATATGAAAACATGTATTTTGCAGCGACAATCCTTGCACTGTTTGTATTGTGAGGACCTCACGGGAACAGTTCAATCACATATTGTTTTGCCATTGTGAAGATTAGGCAGTTATGCAACCTTCATCAGTTTTGCCATGGTTTTTCTGGGTTTTTCTGGCCATCACATATTGTTTTGCCATATTGTTTTCCATCATTCGACACCCCAAGAGTTACCCAGATGGATTCGAAGGTCTCCATCCGTATCCGCCGACCGCAGGCTGGTCAAGCCAACGAGGAGGACCAGATTGACGCCTGCTTGAAGATGGCTGCCGAGGCCGGGCTTAGCTCTCTGGCAGTTGGGTATATATATATAATATAAATAACATATATTAATATGTTTGGCTTCAACTTGTTGTGGCCTTTGTTTGTTGGGAGTAGTGAGCTTGCGAACGTACCGCCTGTAACAAAAAAAAGAAAAATCTGATGAACTGAAAACCAACTGACGGTGTTGGTGAGCCTGGCGGTGTTTTCAGCTCAGCTTTCAGAGTCAAGCAAATATAGCTGATCCTCCTGTGAAGAGTTGAAGATGTTAAACATGTTCAAATTGTTCAAGCTATTTTAAGATGTGTGGAAGTGCGGTGAAATCTGCTGAAACTTCCGTAGTTGGACGCCTTTCCATTCCGCACTTGTGCGGCGGCAGATGCTCCTGGCTGAATGCTGGAAACCAACTGAAGTTTCCAAACAACTTCTGTTTATTATCATGTTGTGACATTTACATCTGTCACTGTTGTTTGAAGGATGATCTTTACTTCTCACTTTTTATTTAGATCAGATTGATGTCAGTCTTCTCACCTTTTGCTCTGTTGCGAACATTTTGATTTTATGTTCCGCGCAATTTTGGCTAGGGTGTGGAGGGTGGGTTGCACTTGACCCGTTCGATTTTTCTATCCGATTTTTCCATATCGCCATGGATGCCTGACAGAATTTTGGAAGATCTTGATTTTACGGGACGTGCATTCTCTGACAGAACTTTCAGTTTTCATTTGAACAAACACTGCCTGGATTTGCAAGTGTTTTGTTTTCATGGTACTTGTGCGTGATTCACACAGTTTGGGCGATTTACCAGATGCAGCTGGTGCTGCGCAGTGGCCTGTTTCGCAGGGGGACAATGGAGGCCAGAGCGACATGGACTGGGAACACGTACAACTTCCAGATGCTTTGAATGATCATGATTTTGGACAAGATTCACATTTCAGTCCTTTGTTTGGATACGAGGAAAAGGAATTTGCAGAGCAGCAAATTGAGGAAGAATATTCACTCGCTGCAAGTTTGGTCAGACCAGATGACGTTGAAAACCAGACTGGACGCTTCATGGTGCCCACAGCCAAGGCACGGGCTGATAGGAACTTGGCTGAAACAGTTGACATGGATGTCAGTCGAACCATTGACAACCTTGTGATTCAACATGTGGCTGGGTCTTCTTCACTGCCAAGTTCTTTTTTGAATAGAATGGATTTTGACAATGTATTTTCACTGGACAGCATTTGGAGGCAACCACAGCTGCCTATGTATGGGCGGTTTGAATCTGTTCAGGGCGTTGTGCATAGTGCAGTGAGCTCGCATGAGGAACCGGTGCAAGGAGTCTCAGATTTCAAACGCAAAAGACTGTTGGCAACGGCATTTGCCAAAACAGATGATCAGCTGGTTGATTGTGCAATGCGGCAACTCAAAGAGATAGTTCTTTTTCAACCTTTGGATTCAAGACTGGGCAGAGCACTTCTGGATTTTTCAGGAAAGCTGGTACCAGAGTCGAAAATTTCAACTTCCTTTATTGATGCTGTTGCTGGCAAGGCGCCTGGCACAGTATCTAAAAGGGTTGCAGACTATCACCGTTTTGCACGATGGGCAGTTGATGGGGGACGTTGCTATCCCATGAACATTTCAGAGACTGTGGTGTACGACTATGCCAAGCACTTGCAACTGTCCGGAGCCTCTGCAACATCTCTGCAGTCATTTATCAAAGCAATTGGATTTTTCGAACATCACATTGGCTTTGCGAGGGTGGATGTTGCTCAATTTTTTTCTGGCAGAGTGAACGGAGTTAGCAGGACTATGCTTTCAGGCAAAAGGGAGTTGAAGCAAGCTCCACCACTTACTGCTGATGCGTTGTACGCTTTGGAGAAACATGTCTGTGAGTGCAACGATGTGGAGGCATGCATTGGAGGATTCATGATTTTTTGTTTGCTGGCATCTGCAAGATTTGCTGACGCAGCTCGTGCGGAGACCGTGCATTTGGACATGAGTGGTCACATATCACTGCTGGAGACGTCAAGCATGAAATTCAAGACAGCGCATACGGCTGGCAAGGAAGCTAGGAATGTTGCCCTTCCTATGCTGGCCCTGGGCAATGGGCTTTACGAAAAGGACTCTTGGGCATGGACATGGATTCGTGCCTGGAAGCGACAAAAGATGGATCATTTCAAATTTTTGGTGCCGGCCTGGAATGAAGAAACATCACAATGGTTGAATCGTCCAATGACATCTGGTGAAGGTGTATACTTTCTACGTGAGCTGCTGTGCAACTCTGGTATGAGTGAGGCTCAGGCGGCTTCATACAGCACACACACCTTGAAGGCTACTGCACTGTCTTGGGCGGCAACATCTGGAGCCATGTCAATTGATGAGAGGCGTATCATGGGGCACCATTTTGACTCCAGGTTAGCAATGCCATTGATATACTCGAGAGATGCGCTTGCCGAGATTCAAACCAAGTTGTGGCGCATTCTGGACTCCATTCGAAAGGGTTACTTTGACCCTGATGCAACTCGGGCTGCTCGGATTGCTGCACAGACTTTGCAAGATGCAGAACATGTCGATATTGAGAACTATTCTGACGAGTCAGTTGACCCCATTGAGCTGGGTGCAAGCGAAACTCTGCCAGTGCCTCAAGCAAAGAAACCTGTGCACAATGGACCGTTGACTGAAGAAATTTTCAAGTCATGTTTGCAGCATGTTTTGTCAGGAGTTTTGCATGTAGCAGTGGACTGTGAAAATTTGGCATGTTCACGAAAAGTTTCTGCGAACTACAAGAAGCCTTCTTTTGATTTTGAAATGGCATGTGAATTTCCATTTTGTGCTCAGTGTGCACAGCATTCTTGATAGTGAGTGCTTAGTGCAACAGAAGCGTGAGTTGGGGCGGGCGAGAGACAAACAAGGCGGGAATCTGTTCAGCAAACATGTCGAATCTTGCTTACTGGCAATGCATTGGCTGGTATGATTTTTGAATCTCGCTGTTGCATTACCCAGCTTGACTTGACTTCAATTTGTTGCAGCATGAATTTAGCTGACAACACAGGGAATGAGTGAATTGAATTCCTTTGTGGTGACTTGCACAACATGAAATTGAATTTCATCGACCTGATGCGTGAATTGCTCAGAGTCAGCGCATGACTTGCGCACCAATGATCCGATGCACAACTGTCGGAGCCTTTGAAAAACAGTGAACAGCTTCATGAATGTATGTTTTCTTGCAGTGTGAATTTCATTGCATCAATGACACATGTTTGAAGGTTCACGACTGTGGTTCAACTTATGAAGAAACATTGCGTTTCAATTTCGATCTTGTTGAACACTGTTTTTCATGCGTTGATTTTCAAATCAATAACTCACTTTAGTGGACGTTTCGCTCTTGACTTGACAATCTTTTGCAAGATAACAATAAAACTGTATCACTCAGCGACGGCTGGTCGAAAGTGCAGCCATGTCCGGACTTGATTCGAAACATGCTTTCAGCTCACGTGCGCTGGAAGTAGGGATGCAAGATGACCTGCTAGAGAAGCTCAAGGGAGCTGGGTTGGACACGTTTGGGAGCCTTGCTTTTTCAAGTGATGCAACGCCAACTTCAAACACTGAAGAGAAGTTCAAGAAAGCAGTCCAAGATTTGATTTTGGTCGAGGTTGCCCCAGCTGAAATGATTCCACTTCGTAGGCTGTGGTTTGAAGCGCATGCTATGGTGCTCTCTGACATACGTAGCAGAACAGAAAGAACTGAGGCTGACCAGCCTAGGAAAATGCCACTTGCAGAGAGACTTGCTAGGATTGACAAACAGAAAAAGGAATTGAAAGGCCTGATCATCGACGCGTCAGTCGAACCAAGTCATGGATTGGTTGACAAGTTTCAAAACATGATCAAGGATGGTTGCTTGCTTTATGTAGGACCTGAGAAGTGCATGTCACGAGAAGAAGAAATTACCAAGGAGAAGAAAGAGTCAGCGCTGAGCATTGACCATGCTGGAGGTCTCAAAGTCACCAAGAAGGCTCAGGACTTGCAATGTGATGTTTCGGGCGAGCTTAGACTACGTGCGGCATTTACACGCCGATCTTTGGCCATGCATCAGACCAATTTGGTGACCTTTGATTTGATTGAAGAGTGGAATCAACAGATGTTTGCTGCGTTGTTGCGGCCGCCTCCAGCTGGACACAAGTATGTCACGACAGCAGATCTTGAGTGCTGACAAGCAACTGTGGATGCACATCTCACAGCAAACCCGTGGCAAGTTGATTTCTGGCATAGGTGAGAAACCACCTTTGGATGAGCAATTGAAAAATTACATGAGGTCTCCTGAAGTTCTTTGCTTCATGACTCCATTGCCATCAGTGCGCGCTGAAGCGCCTTCAGGACATCGTTCCGAGCCATACAGTCGAGCGGAACAGAGCAGTGGATCCGGCAAAGGCAAAGGGAAGAACAAATTTCAGTCGAAAGGTGCTGCGTCAGGTCCCAGCTCTGGGCCCACTATCAAAGAGATGCTCACCAACATGCCAGACGGCTGCGCCAGCAAGCTGCCGAACGGTCAATGGCTGTGTGTTTTCTACAACAGAGGGATTTGCAAACATCAGAAGAAAGCACGTTGTCATTTGGGGCTTCACCAATGTTACTACAAGGGTTGCACAGAGAAGCGACCTTACATTGAGTGTAAGCACTGACTTGGTGAGCCGAAACAAGACAATACAATTTCTCACCCTCATGCAGACAAACCAATAGTCTTTTTGGAAATCTGTGCGGGCTCAGCTGCGCTCTCTGCATCAATGCAACGCATGGGCTGGCAAGTTTTTCCGATTGACTATCATGCAAATCGTTTCAAAAACAAGATGCACATTTTTGAGTTGGATTTGTCATTGCATGAGAATATTTCACTCCTTGAAGGCATGATCGAACAGATGAAGCCGGTAGGAGCCCATTTTGGGCTTATGTGTGGAACTTGCAGCCGAGCACGAGAAGTGCCGGTTGCACATGCATTACGCTCTCAAGGAGCACCTCAACCTGCGCCACTCCGTGACGCGTTGCATCCACTTGGCCTGCCAAATTTGAGCACTCTGAACCAGCAGAGAGTTGACGCTGCAAATACTGTTTATAGACATGCAGTGCGCTTGTTGCATGCACTTTTTCGTGTTGGAGCATTCATTACACTGGAAAATCCTTTACGATCGTGGTTATGGACAGTACTTGCAACACTGGTCAAGCAATATGCACGCGAACACAAGTGCCCTGAATTTGCTGAGTGGTATTTTTGTTTCCACCCCGTGGAATTTGATTTTTGCATGCACGGAGGAAACCGTGCCAAGTCAACCAAGTTGCTGGTGTCGACCCGACAGTTTGAGCCACTGGGGATTATGTGCGACAAGTCCCACAACCATGAGCCATGGACAATTGTCAGTGGATTTGATAAGTGGATTTTTTCTACTGCAGCGGAAGCTCAATATCCTTCAATGTTCTGTGATCGATATGCTGAATGTGCAAGTACAATGGTCGCTGCTAATGCACTGGAGTATAACAGTATAACTCAAAATTTTTTCGACTGCAATCTTTAATGGCCCAATCCATTCAAGCCAAAGGTCATGACCAATTGATCCCTGAATTTTCCCAAATTATTGTCACTACGGTACTCCCTCAACTGCCACACAAAATTTTGGCTCGCTTGGGACACGGGGGAGACGACAGCGAGAGGTCAGCTGAAAGCTACAAGGTTGGCATTTATTTCAACCATCATGATCACTTCAAGCGTTCTTTAGAATTGCAGCACCCTGCATTTACGCACAAGGGTGTACCAGATGATTTGAAGAAAGCTATTTTCTTTGTGGCAACACACTCGATGGCAGATGTTGCCCTGTTCCGCATCAGCAAGCTGGGAGAATGTGTTGAAATTGCAAAGCGACTGGCTCTTGCGGAGAAACTGGCGAAAGTCAAAATGGACAAGAACGTGGCGGAGGTGACCAAGGCAAAACGCATTGAACTTTGGGAAAAACTGCTGACCCAGGTTGGGTTCGAAGACATGGAGATTGTGCGCTATATGCGCGAAGGAGTTCCCCTGACTGGCTGGGAAGACGAAAGCGCTTTGTACAAACAACGATGGGCTCCACCTACAATGACAACCGAACAGTTGGACCACAGTGCTTTGTGGCGACGAAAAGCCCTTATGGGCAAAGCCTTTACTGACGAAGAACGTGGGCTTGCAAAACTGCTTATGGAAGAAACTATGAAAGAGGTATCTGCTGGTTTTCTGGATGGTCCCTTTTTGGAGTCTGATATAACAGAAAGGCTTGGGCGTGCGGACTGGTCAATGTCCCAACGGTTCCTTCTTTTGCAAGGTGAAGACCTTAAACCTAGAGTGATTGACAACTACAAAACGTCGGGAGTGAATGCGGCCTTTGGAACATCGCCGCACCTTGACCTGCACGACACCGACGTAATCAGTTGCTTTCTTGCGTTTGCTTTGGGTGTTTTCTGCGGAGATCCACATATCGACATCGAACTTTCTTCAGGTGACCACCTCACTGGTCGAAGGCACCCTGACTACGACCGAAAGCCTTTGCTGCTGGGCAGGGGCATCGACTTGAGCAAGGCGTACAAGCAGGTCAGTGTTGCTCCTCAGTCTGCTAGACATAGCGTTTTGGGAGTGCGAAGTGAATCTGGCGAATGGAAGTTCTTTATATCGAAGTCACTGCCTTTTGGAGCCACGTCCAGCGTTTTTGCATTCAACAAGATCACGCGCGGTATCTGGACTTTGATGGTTCGAAAATTTCACCTCCTTACCACTGTATTTTATGATGATTTTTCCTGTTATTGAGTTTGAACCTTTGGCGGCAACAACTACGAACGTGGTGCAGCACCTTTTGGATTTGCTTGGGTGGAAACATGCTACGACTGGTAAAAAGAGTGTTGATTTTTCTGACACCATGCAGGTGTTGGGAGTAGCATTCCACTTGCAGAACTTTTGGAACAAACAAGTGACAGTGGCGAACCGCCCAAGTCGGATACAGAGGATTTTGGAGATGCTTGAATCATACGCTGCCAAGGGTACTGTGTCTGCACCCGAGGCGGCGACTATGCATGGGTTGCTGAATTATGCTGGTGGCTTTGTGGTTGGACGTTGTTTGAAGCCTGCCGCCAGACAGTTTGCAAGTTTGCAGTCAGGTTCATCAGATACAGAGCTCATATCGCGCTTGTGCAATGATACATGCAGGATCATTAACCGAATGCGACCACGAGAAATTCGCTTCCTGAGCAGCGATCGTCCGGCAGTGATTTACACGGACGGTGCGTACGAGAATGGGAATGGAACCTGGGGTGCAGTTGTCATAATCCCTCAACTTGGCATTAATGCAATTCACTGGGGAACCATCCCACCAGTCCTGATGGAGCACTGGACATCTATTGGACTTCAGCAGAAAATTTGTCAAATTGAGTTGGTTGCAGTTTTGCTTGTGAGGTATTTTTACCGCAATGAACTTTCCAATTCTTCAGCACTGTACTTCGTTGACAACGAGGCAATCTCGGGAGGAAACCTTGCAGGCGATATATGCTTGCCTGAAACAATGCTCTTGGAAGTTACAAGAAAGTGAAGCTCTTTACATGTCGAAAAAAAAAAACGGGGGTGACAGGCGACATGACTTGTTGACCTGAAACAGTTACCAGACACTTGACTTGTGTTTGTGCGGTTTCACCCCCGACTCAATTAAGATAAGCAAAGACAAAAAGAAATATTAAATACATGTCCGACCTTCGAGCGATTTGCGTGGCGTTTTGAGTTTTACGTTTGTTTGAATAAGAAATTTAATTTACAAAGGGACGAGCACAAACGTTTGGCTTCAACTTGTTGTGGCCTTTGTTTGTTGGGAGTAGTGAGCTTGCGAACGTACCGCCTGTAACAAAAAAAGAAAAATCTGATGAACTGAAAACCAACTGACGGTGTTGGTGAGCCTGGCGGTGTTTTCAGCTCAGCTTTCAGAGTCAAGCAAATATAGCTGATCCTCCTGTGAAGAGTTGAAGATGTTAAACATGTTCAAATTGTTCAAGCTATTTTAAGATGTGTGGAAGTGCGGTGAAATCTGCTGAAACTTCCGTAGTTGGACGCCTTTCCATTCCGCACTTGTGCGGCGGCAGATGCTCCTGGCTGAATGCTGGAAACCAACTGAAGTTTCCAAACAACTTCTGTTTATTATCATGTTGTGACATTTACATCTGTCACTGTTGTTTGAAGGATGATCTTTACTTCTCACTTTTTATTTAGATCAGATTGATGTCAGTCTTCTCACCTTTTGCTCTGTTGCGAACATTTTGATTTTATGTTCCGCGCAATTTTGGCTAGGGTGTGGTGGGTGGGTTGCACTTGACCCGTTCGATTTTTCTATCCCCTCCCAAACTTCGTTTTCCCTCCCTTATCTTGTGGGGGGGTGACAGGCGACATGACTTGTTGACCTGAAACAGTTACCAGACACTTGACTTGTGTTTGTGCGGTTTCACCCCCGACTCAATTAAGATAAGCAAAGACAAAAAGAAATATTAAATACATGTCCGACCTTCGAGCGATTTGCGTGGCGTTTTGAGTTTTACGTTTGTTTGAATAAGAAATTTAATTTACAAAGGGACGAGCACAAACATATATATATATATATATTATAAGTATATAATAATACCAATATGAGTGATAATAGGAATAGTAACAACAACAATAACAAGGTCATATGTATATATATATAAAATACAAATCATAATAAATAATAATAACAATAATCATATAAGTAATTAATGAACAAATAAATAAATGAATATATAGTAATTATATGCATATATATATATATATGTAGTGGGATATTTCATGGGGCTGATGTATATAGGGGATCACTAGACTGGGTATAAAACATAGGTTCCTTAAGTACTTCATGGGGATGATAACCCCCCAGTTGATCAATCCGAGGAGTACAGTACCAGCTTGATCTAATGGGTGTAAGACAGATGCAACATTGATATACTGTCTCACCAATTACATCCAATTACTAGCAATTTAGTTCATTGTACCCTTCCAAAGTTTGGGCAAATGGTTATTTGTACATCTTGGATCATCGTTCTCCCAATATTGCTCGCAGTGGTGGTATATCAATCACTATCAATACTTCGTCGAACCGCTGTGTCCAAAGGCTTGAGGGGTCAGCACACTACTCAGCCTCCAGTAAACTAATATATCCATTAAAGTCCATGGCGCCGGATTGTCCATGTCTATCTTACTAAAAACTGGAGGGTAGCATCATCTACCTACTTTTGTGATCCCTGGATATATGTTTGGTTGATAAGGGTTCCAATGCTTTCTCAAGTCATGCCCGACAAATCCATAATAAATCAGGTAGGCTGAATACCCCGAAACAATGGAAAAGGTTCAATTTACCACTAGTTTGGTAGCATTTGTCACTTTTTCTGCAGGAGATTGCTGTAGGTTAAGAAGCCCCTAGAAGTACTATCCTCCAGCAATATTAAGCTCAATGATTATATTTTTCCCATATATGAAGATACTATATATATATATATTGTATAATGTATATAGACCCATTTAGTTCAAGGATTTCCCAGCGGCCAACCATGTTTGATGACACCTTAGGTTCGTACCTCATTACGAACCTATGATACTGATATTCACTTCCTTTATGCATCCAGGTGGACATTATTAGGATATTCAGATGATATTCACTTCTTCCTGATTCATTCCATAGTAAATGATTGTTGATGATGGTAGTTTAAAACTATGGGCCACGGAACGATGTCATCATAGTGCAACGGATCCTAATGGCTTCGTATCCTTTCTTTCGTCCTTCAGATGTTTTGTAATATTTAAGCGATGTTTCAACTGGCTATGATATAGGACTTGGATGGACTTGGGAGAAACGACCTTTTTTTTGGTTCCAGTCCATTGGTCCTCCAAATTTTTGTTGCAGGGCGAGGGCATTCGAATGACAATGGCCTTTCAAAGAATGTCGCACTACTTTGCGGAGCTGAAACCGGGATCCCTCGTCCTGGAGGCCTGGTGCATAGTGAAGCGGGGAGGCGAAGCGGCGAAGAGGCAGATGGGCAAAAAAGATCCTAAGCGCTTTGCCCCTGCAAAGGAGACCAAGTTGATAGGTTTTTGGGCCTCTACCAGATACGTATTTTTTTCAATGAGAGTGTCAGTTGCAACATTCCAAGCAGTAAAGAAATGACAGATTCACCCGAAAGCCTGGACTTGCTACTGTATGGCTTGCTACGCCGCACAGTCATCATCCCCGATTAAACTCCGCTTCAGCAACTACGGCTCAGCAACTACGCTTCAGCAACCACGGCTCCGCAACCAAACCACCCTCTCGCTTCAGCAACTACGCTTCGGCAACTACGCTTCAGCAACCAAAACTCGCTCTCGCTTCAGCAACCACGCTTCAGCAACCAAAACTCACTCGCTTCAGCAACCAAACCTCAGCAACCAAAGCTCACCACCTGTGGCAAGTACATGCACAGGCACATCTTACACGTCATATCAAAATCCCACCCCCTCTGGCAAGTACATGCAAAGTCACATCTTACACGTCATATCAAAATCCCACCCCCTTTGGCAAGTACATGCAAAGTCACATCTTACGTTTGCTTTATGAATCATAGTTTAGGGAGCATAGTTTACGGATCTTGGTTTACGAAGCATTGTTTACAACGTTACGAGGCATAGTTTCCGAGTCATGGTTTACCGAAGAGTCAATCCATCATCCCCCATCTCTCTTGGTGACCAGGTGGGCTCCAGAGCCGGTGACATGACCCTGATGTTTGCGGAGCGCTTTCCGGATCTGTACATTTTGCCCACCGAAGGCACCGGTGAAGCATCGCCTAGCCTCTTCATGCTGCTGCAGGAACGAAGTGGGATGGGTAAGGATCATTGATGAATATGATTCATGATGAATTGATGACTGCTCAGAAGATGGACCCCCCAATCTTTTCTATTGTGTGTCTTTCCTCAGTGCATGGAGTTTGACTACGACTGCGTGGGGATGGTCAAAATGGGATTGTCTGAATATATATATATACCCCCAAAATTCAATGGACCATTGCCATTTTCCCCATTAAAATCAACAGTTAGGGGGATACCCCATTTCAGACAAACCCAAATTCCACTTGGTAAATTTAACATAGCCATGGAACATATTAAGGGGCTACGCCCCCTGCCGCCGACCCCTGGGAGAGAGTGAGTTTGGAACCCTTCCTGCAGTGAACATCTTCCACAGTGATGGCGGCCGAAGCTCAGTCAAAGTCGCTGGTCTGTTTTCATGTGTTCCATGTGCGCGGAACGCAAGCCACGAACAGAGTTTACAGCTTGGCAACAAGGTCGTGAATACACTCAAGACGGCACACAAGTATGCAACGCATGCACAGCCTTTGCCTTCGTTTGCCGTCTTGCTCATCGCACGAATCAACGCCTGGCCCGCTTGCGCCAACGCGAAACCCGCCACCGGCACGCAGCAATCCTAGAGGACATTCGCAAGGAAATTCAGGAAATACACGAAGCAAGACAAACTTCCACGCGAGCAGAAGGTCCCAAAACGGACACTGCCCACTCATCGACCCAGCAGCTTGCTGTCGGGCCTGACACAGCACCGCCACGACTGCACATATACATCTGCCCGTACTGTGCTAAGTCTGTGCAAAGCCCTGTGGCAACAGGGCGCGTCGATCACCGCCGCGGTAATGGCTGCGGCAAACAATTTCGCGTTGCCAATGGCCTGCTCGCAGGTCGCACATATTCGCATGCATGTCCAACATGCGGCACGGTGGTGCACTCAACACTGGCTTCCGGCCGAATTCGGGTAACGCATCGCAATCCCAGCGGCCGGCAGTGTCGCACCAACCAGTGGCGCGTGCATACCTGATGACGTTTCCAGCTTAAGGTTGCCACACCGCACGGCAATGCCCCACAATGCTTTCTGAACCTACAAGAAAAGTAGCCGTCTTCCAGCTTTCCAAGCTCAGAAACGGCGCCTCCGCCACGCCCAAACAGCAGGGCCCTGAAGGACGGACCGAGCCTCCGGGCAACGGCTCCCA